AATAAGGTAAAAGTTCGGAGTGTTTATGATGGTTGTTAGTGTTGTGAGTACGATTCACTAGCTATGCTCTAGTGTGTTTTCACTTTTGTGGGTGGCCCTAGTTGTGGATCAGGGGTACCAAATCCTGCGATGTTCTCTTGGTTGTATGGGAAGATTGGGAAGATTTAGTTATTTCGAATGACATAATTGGTGTTGTCTTGGAGTTGTTAAAGTATTTTAGTGGCTCTACATGTACCATCTTGCTTATGAGAATTTATACAAGAGCTACCATGTGTATTTATGGTTGTCCGGTAATCTTAATATTCCTCTAGTCGTCGAGGTCATATATCGATTATGTGTGGTTGAGTGTGGGGATCATTGGGTCTAATTCTACTGTTCTTAAAAGGTAATCTACAATTACTAAATCTAGCATTTCGATAGTGTTGTTGGAGGGGTTGTATGCTTGGACATATCCCTCGATGAGTATCTGATTTCTAAGGATCAAATATCTTATAACTTAAGCTTATGGGAATTTATGTTGTGGGATGGAGATATTGTTAAGAAATGTGATTGTTTGGGTATTATGAGTATGTGTTGGTTGATTCAGGTTCACTTCTATTTATAGCGAGTATTGACTTGGAATTTTATCATGCTTAAGTGCTAAAGGATTCGTCCGGATGATTGTGTCAAGGTCCTTGATAACATGTTGTAGACGTGTGTAGGATCAACTTTGGTGGTTGTTGGGAATCGCTTTTGTTGTAGTTAAATTTACATATAACAATATTTATCACTCGAGTATTGAGATGACTTCATTGAGGCATTGTATGGGAGGATGTGTAGGTGTTCAATTGGTTTATTTGAAGTTAAAGATGTGAAACCTTTGAGAGTTGATTTGGTGAAAGATATTCAGGGTAAGGTGGAAGTATCCAATCTAAGCTTCTAGCAGCCCAGAGGCGATAGAAAAAGTATGTGGGACAAGTATCCCCAGTTATTCGACGATTCAGATACTACTTTATTCTTGCTTTAGCCCTTTTCTCCTAGTTTGTCACTCGGGGACGATTGATGGGTAAATTGGTATCTATTGTAACAACATGTTCCCGTCGTTATTGAAAATCCAATGAGAAAAGAATTGGGGCCAGAAATCTTTTGAGTAGTAACTTGAAATTTCCCAACCTAGTCCAAATTTGGAAGAAATCAGAGTTATTAAGGTATAGGGAAATCTGGTAACAATCGGGTGACTTAGTTATGATTTTTATTACATGAGTGGTTAGATAAGTCGTTAAGGAACCTGTACGACTTTACAAAATTGAATTCGGGTGAGTAGAACTCTCGGAATCGATCTTAGCGTGAACAGTATTTTCTAAGTGTCGTTGGTTAAAGGTGTGTTGTGAAATGGGGATCTTGGAATTATTAAAATAGCTCACTGGTTCTGTACAAGCCGCTGGGGTGGGATTTCTGCCTCCATGGCGGGGCCGCTATAGCGGGGTGAGGACCGTTGTGGCGGGTTCGACGCAACTTAAGGTCGTAAATAAACCCCAAAACGTCTTTATTCAGCACTTTTCGATTTTTAGAGCTAAGGAATGAACCCAAGGCGATTCTTGACAGTTTTCCACCATTTTTTAGGCTAAAGGTAAGATTCTAACTCCCCAAATCCATTTTTCGATCCGTAGAATGTAAATTCGTGGGTAATTATCGTTGGGGAAGGGTTTTGATTCAACTAATGATGGAAAAAGCCCAAAATTGGGTATTAGGATCTTGGGTTGGTCTAGGGTTATTGGGTTTGTTATAATCTAGATAATTAGACTTTTGATTGTTGATCCTTGCGTTAATTGTATATTTTTAGACCACGAACAAGTGGGAAGAATCCGAAAGGGAAGATTCAAGTGTCTTAGGGGATTCAAGCTTGGATTCGAGATAGGTAATGGTTGTGATTTCATGATTGTGTGATATAAGTTTGTTCTTGCTTCATTATAATGCATGTATGTATGCGAATGTTGCACTATTGATTACACTACTTGTGGATGAGGATAGATGAATGATGAATGCCATGAATCATGACTTAATTGTATGATTTTGAGAATATACTTGTGATTGTGATTGTGGCTTGTTGAATGGATCGGGTATTGCGTTCCGACACACTAACTTGGATCGGTTGCCACGTTCCGATATAAACATTGGATCAGTTGCCACATTCCGACATAAATATGGAATCAGTTGCCACATTCCGGCATAAACATTGGCTCGAGTACCACGTTCCGGTATGCTAACAGTTTGGGTGTGGGTTCCATGAGAGGACCAATGAATTCGGTTCCGTGAGAGGACCATTGAATTGTGTTGTGTATCTACTAGTGATGATTTCGTTCATATTTAATGATGATTGATATTGGAAGACGATATGTTGCTCTAAATTGATATAACTATGATATGTGAGAATCGTTAAACTGTTCGTTGTTCGTAATAGTTGACTAATATTGTATATGTTCGGTATATGCATGTTTTATAATGATTGTGGTTACTTGTATGTGCTTCACTTATTGGGACAACCATGTGATCCTACCAGTACACTGTGATTGTGTACTGATACTGCACTTGCTTGTTCTTTGTTGAGTACAGGGCATCTTCAGGCGGCTGTTGATAGACCTCAACTAGGTGACTATTGAGCGTGATCGAATTCAAGGGTAAGCCAATTATTTCAGGCTGCCATGGATCTCTCTTGTTTAAGTCCACTCATTTCGGACTCAGACTATTTGTTTAAGGTGTTGTTTAGTTTTCGGGGTTGTACCCCTTGTTCTTAGACTTTTCGTTAGTAGAGTTTCGGTACAATGACTTTCAAGTTCTAGAGGTTGTTCTTCCGCATTAGTTGGTTAGTTGTTTGTTAAAACCTTGGAGTTTATGGGGATTCCATTTTTATAGTCATTTAAACCTATTTCCGTATCTTTAAATGCCTTAGTTTTCATAAAATTTGTTTGTTTGGATTGTAGTAATGGTTCTCCCACTGAAGGATTTGTGTGGGTGTTAATCACGACGGTTTGGATCATGACAAATAGAGAATGGGCACTCCAACCCACCTCCATATCAATATATATTCTCTATTTATAGAGGGGTCAATAGTAGTTCTCCAAATTTGAAGAACTACTATTCACCTCTCTATTTCACTCTTTTATTATTTTAATATTATTTCTATTATTTTGTAACTAACATATTATTTTATATATAATGTCACTAATTAAATATCTATTATTCGTAATTCATTTTAAATAAAATGTAATGTTTTAAAAAATATATTATTTAATATATACTATTTTCATCTCGAATTGATAATGTTTTATTTTTTAAAAGTTTTTGTGACTAATATAATTTGAAAATCTTTGATTTGAACAATTTTTAGCTAAACATAAAAAAATTAAGGACAAAAATGCTCATTTTTAACTCTGTAATGCATTAATAGATCATTTATGGGAGCAATGTCATATCTTAAATGTTGAGTATTTATGTAATTGTATTTCATTAATGATTTCTTTTATTTGAATTGTTCATTAATTTGTACATTATAGAATATTTGCTTTCAATTTATGTTATTTAAAAATTTAGCATAAAATATAATTTTATGTATTAAATGAAGAATTTTAAAAATAAAATATTATATCAAATGAAAATTATATATAATAATTAATTAGAAAAAAAAGAAATGATATATATTATGAAATAAGAAAATAAACATGAAATAGAAATAATAATATAATATTAATGAGAGATAAAAAGATTTTTTTTTAGAGAGTAAAATAAATAATTAGATTGGAGTTGGTCATCTGAAAAAATAAAGAACTTTATATTAAGAGGGAAAATAGAGTAGGGAAAATTACGTAGTTAAGCAAACTTATATTACTTAATTACTCATCATAGTTATAGTTTGCTATAATTACCACTCACGACTAACATTAACCATTAATTACGTGGACTGACTTCAAATTGTATAATTAGTCACGTTTGTATAATTCGTCACATTTGTATAAATCTCAACTAACAACTCTTCATTTGATTTGTATTTGTATATGACGGTTTGTATTTGTATATGACGATGATTTCCTTTGCTTTTTCAGTTTTGTCATCATATACATTCAATTTTTTTGTGTATAACTTTTTAAAGTTTGTATAAATGTGTAGTTTTTAGATTTTATATTATATAATGTAATTTGTATAATATATTTTGTATAATTGTTTAAAGTTCATATATTTATGTTTATTAATTCGTTATTTCGAGTTTTATACAAAAATACGTGAATTAGACAAATTATTGTCCTCTCTCTCTCGCCTCTCTCCTCCCTCTCCCAATCTCGCTCGCCAGAATATACAAATACATATGTATAATATAAAATTATCTAACCGAATACATATACAATATACCTCTCTCCCACTCTCGGCCCTCTCTCGCTCGCCTCTCTCCTCCCTCTCCCAATCTCGCTCGTCACTCTCCTCCCTATAACATGTATCTATGAATCATAATTAGTAAATTATAGCTATGAAATATAATTAGACTATTTTTGAGTGGTTATATACGAAAGTTTCTCAATAGATATTATACGGTTGGAGATGCCCTAACACTCCCAATAATTTAAATAGGAAACTAAAAAAAAAACTTAGGTGTATTATTGGCATTTCATCCTTGTATTTTTTGAAAAACTGGTACTTGCCTCACTCCTCTTTTTCTTGTACCAAACTTTTAAGGCGTCAAACTATAGCGCTCGCTCTCCTTTTCATCTTGTTCTTCACCAATGCTGAAAATTTATGCTATTCTATACCCATTCTAGTTTTACTACTTCAAGATTTGAATTCGTTTCAGCCTTCAATTTGAAGTTGATTGTGAAGAAATATATGCACACAACCTGATCGATGAAATGTCTCAATGGACTGAGTATGTTGAATTTTCGATGAGGTTCTGTTTTTAGGCGTCCCAATTGTCAGAAGAAGAAAACAAAGTAGTTGCTGGTTGTGTCAAGTGTATCTTTTATGGTAACTTAAGTTGGTCTTACAATGGGAATGCGTAGCGTGAGGAGGAACCTTATACCTCGAGCTAAGATGTTGACAGCCAAGACTAGTGGGGTGATGCGGTTTTATCACTGCTCAGAGGAATTCCAGGACGAGTCTTTGCCTTCTGAATGGTATGAGAAAGCTTTCTCAAAATTAACAAAATTGAACCTTTTGCTGAAGAATGTTGACTTAGTTGATGGCAAGCTAGTAAATGTTAATGATCACTCGAGAGTTCATGATGAAAGCTTGGAACAAAAGTTGTCTTCTTTCAAATCACTGGCTAGGACCTTTATTGGGTGTCCATCAATGCAAGAAATGATGAAAAAGAATGTGGCACAAGCATTAGCTGATGTACAATGTGATCAGCCTGTCTGTTTTAGTAAAAATAACGAGAGGGAATCAATTACAGTTGATTCCCTCACAAAAATTTCAAACTTCCTGAATGTTTCTGCACAACAAAGGAAGCTTGTCAGGCAATCAATATGTGCACAGGTCACAAAGTACCCCGTATGGATAGGGGCAGTTGAGGAGATATTGTATGGACTGAAATCTAATATCGATTTTCTAAATTGTAGATGTCCGAGTAAAGACATTAGAATGGCGCAGCAAATAGTTACAACTTGTCAAAAGTATTTAGAGAATGCAACTTCTTATGACCCTGAATCCACTTCATGGATGCGCGTCGCACCTGCAAAAGGTGTGGAGTCACCTGCTTCTCATAAGTGGGAAGGTGTTCTTGAAATGTTCAGCGACCTTATTGATTGCTTGAGTGAAGAGACAAAATTAACTTCGGAGGTAAAGAAGCTTGAGGTCATGAAAGAGGGGCTTTATCAGATTAAGGATGTTTTCATAGACAAAAACATTGGATTTAAGGAAGCTCGCTATCAGGAGAGTTTAGTGCATAAAAAGTTGACTAAGACATTGGGCCACCCATCACGATGTGTGTTCACACTTCTTCTTTATTATCTTTATGGCAGCATCTGGGATGTTGATATTGAAGTATGTGGAGGACTTTATCCACTTGGTCGAGGGGATAAGTTTCGTCTGTGCATGGGAAAGATCCTAACATCTGATGAGCAGAATATGCTGCAAAGCGGGGTAAAGCAGCTAAGCAGAGCTCTGGGGCTTTTCAAGTTTGTATGGGAAACAGCAGGAATGAAAGGCGACCTAGAAGTACAAGGCCATCTGTGGTGCATTGGTGCCAAGAATAAGTCATTTACCTATAGAAATAATATGTTCTTGCTGCATTCTATAAGTTGCTGATGTGACTGACAGGGAAAGCTAGAAATGTGGAAGATGCATTCATCAATGTGTAAAGTAGGTTAGTATGTAACAACTTTTTGCTGCCATCAAAATGCATCTCTACTCTCATATCATTCCCAATATGTTACTTATGATGGGGAAACTTTATGTCTGAGTAACAAGATAATCATTACGTCATTTGTTTGTTACAAATGGTCCAGTCAGACACTTTTATCTCATAAACTGGTTTTTCTATTCAAGTTGTAACCTATTGTCGCTGATGTTCTTCCCTTTTATCTTCAACTAGCACAGGGTGGCATCAGTCATTTCTTGATTACAATAATTAAGAAAGAAGACTTATTGGCATGTTCCACCAAGTTTTGGTAATTTTGTGATGTTGCTCAATTCTGAAGTTAGTCGACTTAGCTAGTGATATTTCCCTTGCTGCTTGTGATGAGGACTCAATTATCTACCCATTTATATATTTGATGTTTTAAAAAAAATATTGTGAATCTCAGGCTGTTCCACGAGCCTAAAAGATGATGTGATAGGGTACATCAATTATGTTTACATTAAACAAAGGTAAAATTCCATAGTATAACTTGCGCCCCAGTTAATTTCCCATATCAGGCAGAAAGAGTCCTGGGCACCAACAACTACAATGGTAATTGGTAGGGCATGATGATGAATGTCATAGCGTCCTTTAATTTGTTGTTTATTGTTGCACTTTCACTTGGAAATTATTTTTGAACAATATATATTTAGTTCACTGAAATTCTAGACAGTAAAAACAAAGGAAATGCATAAGAATGCAACAACAACAAAACAACAACCACATATTCAGTGAAATTCCACAAGAGGGGTCTGGGGAGGGTGGGATATACGCAGACCTTACCCCTACCTTTGTGGAGTAGGGAGCCTGCTTTCGATAACCTTAAGCTATTTACAATGCTTCTAAAATTTCTAGGATAGCTACAGTGTCCACTAGAGGGGTTCTTCTTTACACCAAAAAATGAAATAACAAAAGGGAGTTCATCTTGATCTTCTGAATTTGGTTACTCATGCCTTGAAAGCATATCAAGTTTTTTTCCCTCAAATTGGCCCACAAAATACATAGTGGGATCATCTTCAATCAGTTCTTCTGTTTGAGTAACCATCCTAACCTGTTCCAGCATTTCACAACTCCAAAGAGTTTTTAGGCATCGCCCATTTGATACTCATGCTTAAAAAGATGTTCCAGATTTGAGAAGTCACTTCACAATGTAAAAAAAGGTGACAGTTAGTTTTAGCTTCCTTACCACAAAGATAGCATCTTGAAGATACTGAATGCCTCTCCCTTAAATTTTCATCCATTAAGCACACCTCTTTCACTACCAACTACATAAAGTGACCGTGGATATTCCTTTATTGTGTCCGTGCTTTCAAACTTTTGGGAAGTATTATTCAGTTATTAGAATTATCTGAGCACCGTGTCTTCATTAAATTAAGTAATCCAGAATTTCTCCACACATGATGTTTAAATATTCTTATGGTTATAACTGTCTAGAAATTCAATTATGTGGTAAGTTTAGTGAATCAGCTACTCATAAAAAAAAGTCTAGTCAATTAGCTTCCATCGTTGAGTCTCAGTGTCCTAGTAGTCTATGTCACTTATCTATTTTTTAGATTGTCTTAAGTCCGAAGTAATAATTCTTCTGAGGATTATACAAAATAAGTTAGATGTTCAGTCAAATTAATTGCACTGGACAAAATAGTTGTAATGGACACAATATAGGAAATGTCTCTCTAATGGTTTTGAAGATTGATTTTCAATTGAAGACTATGTTCTTTTGGAACCTTCAATTACATACTAATGGCTCAAAGTTCGTTGTTACAGCTTCAAGTTGATGGCGGGTTGAATCAAAATATGAATTCAAAAGCCTTGTCTGCTCCAAATGTTAATCCTCTGGATTTCCCTGCTCTCTCTGTGGCAGAAATTCAAAACAACAGCCTAAAGTACTCTGGAAGGGATGTTCAACAAAATATCAATCCCTATAGGTCTTCTGAGAAAGACAGCACCCTTCTGTTTAGATCTGGCTCTTCCATCCCTTTTCGAGATGCTACAGATTTTGCATCGTCTCATGTACGTCAGGAAGATGGTATCTCAGGATTCTAGCATATGGAAGTATGATAGGACTGGAGTAGCTGATGGTAGTGTTGGATAAGTAGAAATTCACCTGTATTGGCTAGCTCTTACAATAGTAGGTAGAGTAGGGGAGTTTATGGTGATAGGTTGCAGAGCATAGGTTCCGTGTAATAATTTTCCTCTCTAAAAGGAGATGTTCACTATATGAATGGTGTTATGGAATATGTGTTAATACACAAATTCGATTGAGAGTTTCGAAAGAGATGATTTGTTACTATCCAAAAAAAATAAAAATGAAACTGTTCATGATATTGGGATTATAGTGAGTCTCAAATGAAACTTTTTAAGTTTCAAAGAAATTGACAAGAAAAAAAAAATTATATTCAAACATAGAAATTTGGAAAGATTTAATATCTTCATATTGCTACAATCTAAGCGGGTTATAAATATTTAAGTGAAAAGTTACTCGTCTTTTCAAGTTGTTTGTTGTACATAAATATGGGCATGACGTTGGAATCAAATGCGAAAGTAAATTGGGCGTTTACTAAAGGAAAAACAAGTTGGCAAATCGGTCATGTGGTTATATATTGAAGAAATAAAAGAAAAATCACAAATTCTCATGTTGTTTGTTCTTGTGATAAATTGGTCATATCAACTAAGATTGGAATTGTATCCCATAATTTTTTCCCCATAACATATAAAAGGGTGAATATGGGTCCATTCACCTGTCATGTGGACCCTTTACTATTAAAAGGTTTCATAGATGCATTCAAGGTATGGTCACATATGTGTGTTTGGTATCAACTTGCAATTTAATAGTTGCAAGGTTGTTTGCTCAAATATTAAATTAAGAGCATGGTTCCAACTATAAGATTACGTTGATGATGTTGATTTAAATCAGTGTGTTTATGTAGAAATTGTATGCCTTTAGTTATAGCTAAATAATTGATTATGAGAACAAAACTCTCAAATAAAATTTGAGAGATGAGTTTATTTAACATGTAACAACATAGGTATACATTAAGTCAACAAGAACCCCCCCCCCCCCCCCCTCCTCCCCTAAATGACAATTGATTTAGGATCAACAGTTAAATAATTTTTATCTAAAAATTTACATGTGTTGTATTTGATTTAGTTGCTCCACCACGCACAAAAATAGATCCCCCAAATGAGGTTTGGGGTAAATATTAGAATTCCTAACATTAGGCGGAGAGATGATTAGTAATTAAAAACTATAGGAAAAAATTTATCTAGATCCTCGTTTAAAAAAAAAAATGGACTTGAAGTTTAAGGGATTATTCATTTGCAAAATGTTGCAAATCAGTTGTCGGATGTATTTGATGACCCTATATCTTAATTAAGTTGTAAGTGCTCCAATAAAAGGTCCTTGAAGGGCACGTCTAAAGCGAGATAAACTCATCGGTTCCAAACATAAAACTCCTTGAGGAATGAGAGGAGCAAATAATCAAGATGGTCTTGATATTGATAATGATGCAAGTGCTTTAAAAGTGCACCATGATATGACATTTCATAAAATATTTAAAAAGGCTCATGTATTTGAAAAATAAGAGGTCTCGATAAGTAGTGTGGTATTAAAATCTATATCAAATAATCGTCGATGCTATCTTAGATATAATGTAGTTCTCAACATTATTAATTGTAAAAAGAATCTTGATTTTAAATCTATCGAATAGTGTGGAAAGATAGATCATCGGCTAAATGAAGTACACAATTCAAGTATATTTTATCCACTTGAAAAAATGATGTTGTGGACTTATAGTATATAATCAAGATATAACATTAGTGGAGTACAAATGAATTATTGTGGCGAAGTATAACCGTAAGATTTAAAGTACGGCTTGTGTCTAGGACATAAAGAGTTTTCGCAAAATTTCGGAAGCAACACCTTTTAAAAGCTCTTTTATTTTTTTTCGACTCATTGTACTCTTCATTTCTTAACAATTCAATTAGCAACATTCTAAGTCATCAATCATGTGTTATATACTATTTAACATTCAGAACAATAAAGAATAAAAAAAATCAATCTTTGAATAACCGAAGTTCTAATATTGAATAATTGTTCAAACAACTAATGTAATAGTGGAACAATTTATATTGTTGTTGAAAGAAATAATTAGATGCTTAAAGACATAATTAGGAGTATTTTCCTCCATAGATTCCAGTGTGTCAGGTGGATGGGGAGTTTTCTCTGGTAGAGTGTTGCTCGTTGGTCATTCTCTCCGGAGGGATCTGTTCTAGAGAGAGAGAGAATCATATTTTATCTCAACATATCAATTCTCCACCTATTCAAACTTTATTTTTAAATATAACATAATTTTCTCTCTCTTATCTATTTCAAATTATTAGAAATAAGATTTAATAAAGTTTCGATGGGTACTCTTGTGAAAACTAAGGTAAAAATAGGAAATCACACACAAAAGATAATTTATGAAGGGGAGACACTATGTGTATTAGGTGCGACAAAATTGGCATACAATCTAAGCTTGCACAACAAAATAGATTACTCAGCCACAAAAAACACCAAGAAAGAAACTCGGCAAACAGTAATCTATCCAAAAAGGAGAAACAACCACAAAGCTAAACAGGAAAGAACAAAACAAGCAAGGGCCACATAATAGACAACAACTCACATAAAAACTTCCAATGTATCTTCTGGTAAGTTTACTGAAATTTCTGCAAAAATTATCCATCCCAATACATCTCTTTTTAATATTAACATCTCTAATGGTGTAATTGAGGGGTTTAATAGGGGGAAGCGTAAACAACCCGAAGGAATTGAACGGAGGAACAAAATGAATCCCAGAACCACCAAGGGAACAACAAGCGGCACGAAACAAGACACCAACAAACATGGACCCACTCCATTAATGAGCGCGCATCAAAATTTGACGAACGATGGAAGGAAAAAGAGATGGGAGAAGTGAGCGCGCATCAAAATTTGACGAACGATGGAAGGAAAAAGAGATGGGAGAAGTGACAAGACCCATTCCTAACTCAGTTAATAAGATAGTACCCACCAAAGAGACTACACCTAAACTCTCTCTCCTCTCCTTAAGAGGAAATGCTCTCCTAGCCGTGGGAGTGACTCTTGTCAACACTTCCATCGATGCATTTGCTGATGACACAAAAAGTAATCATCACAATTCTTCAGGTGAAATGACCACGACTATCGTATCAATTAACACCTCCACCAAAATTACTCTTTTTAGTAATAGAGACGAAAGCCACAATGCCCAAAGAATTCCTACCAAAAAAAATACTCCCTCCGTTTCACAAAGATTGATCTGGTTTGACTTGGCACGGAGTTTAATATTAAGGGAAGACTTTTGCCATATCATCACAAATATATATAAACTACAGATTATGCCCTTCAGTGAAGTAAATGAACTTGTGAAAAGAAGAGAAAGTGAATGGATACGTGTTAATACCAAAAAGAAAGTTCAAATACTGTACACAATTATGACATCTCTAGCATGCTGTCTCATTTGCATTAAATGTGTGTCCATTTTTAATTTTCTTTAAGTTTGTCATTTCTCTCTCATAAAATCATTCTTCAATTTTCTTTTTTTAATCTAGTGTCTTATCCAATTCTCTCTTTTTCTTGAAGAGCAAAGCTTATCTTAGTGAAGATTAGCAATGTTAAAAAAAATTCAACAATTACAGGTTGATTTATTTATTTATTTCAACAATTACAGGTTAATTTATTGGTTTTTGTATTCTTTTATATTCTAGATTATTTCTTTTATATTCTTCTTTAAAAAATATTACTCATGATTTCCTAGTCTACATAGCCTCCAACAATGATTAAAGATTTCGGAGGGTAAATTTTCGTTTCCCTCCATGGAGCCAAATAATTTTGCTAAATATTTTAAATTTATTGATAATAAGGTTATGTATTTATAGTGATGCTGAGATTTTTTACCCTTTGTACATACAGCTCCTACCTGCAACTAAATCTGCTTCTATATCCTCCTCTTATCTTAGGGGGTTGAAAAAGTATCTAAAAATATCAAATTTAGATATTTGTACCCTGTCGAAGTAAGGAACCATGGCATATATGTTTGGAATAGATTCCATACAATGAACTCACAATTAAATCCAACTACAGTAAACTCAAGACTATATTGCAAGGATCGTCAAGCTATTGGTGAATGGCTTTTGAAAGAAAGCAAAGCAGGGCGTCTTCGATATGGGTCTGTAAAGCAAGCTGCAAAGTTATTTCACACTTCGGAAAGTACGATCAAACGAATTTGGAGAAAAACAAGATTATCTCTTGATAATGGAACTACATTAAATCTTTCACCGAGACTTGTTGGTACAGTTAGGAGAAAATGAATTCAAATCGATTTTAATCGAATAAAAGAAATTCCTCTTTATCGTCGAACAAATATTCGATCTTTAGCATATGCGGTCAACGTGTCAACATCAACTCTTTTTCGACGTATCAAAGAAGGTGCTATAAGGGCGCACACAAATGCTATAAAGCCTCATCTGACAGAGAATAATAAAAAGGTAAGGGTTCAATTTTGTTTATCAATGCTTGATCCGGATACTCTTCATTCGAATCCAAAATTTTCAGATATGTTCAATTATGTTCACATAGATGAAAAATGGTTTCTTCTATCAAAGAAATGTGAACGGTACTATCTCCTCCCAGAAGAACTAGAGTCTAATCCATATAGATCATGTAAAAGTAAGAACTTCATCACCAAAGTTATGTTCATGGCTGCTGTTGCACGTCCTAGATTTGATCAAAATGGAGTTGAATTGTTCTCAGGAAAAATAGGGATCTTTCCTTTTGTGGTCAAGGAGTCAGCCAAGCGGAATAGCAAAAATCGAGCTGCAGGAACTTTGGAAACAAAATCTATTTTATCTGTGACTAAAGATATCACAAGGGATTACTTGATCGAAAAAGTTCTTCCAGCAATTAGATCAAAATGGCCAATTTCAGAGTCAAATACTCCCATTTTCATCCAACAAGATAACGCAAGACCTCATATTGATATAAACGATATGGAATTTAACGAAGCTGCTCGAGAAGGTGGATTTGATATCAGACTTTGCTTTCAGCCTCCTAATAGCCCGGATTTAAATGTTTTAGATCTTGGATTCTTTAGAGCCATTCAATCTCTTCAATATCAAAAGGCTCCTTTAACCATTGATGAGTTGATAAATGCAGTTGAAACATCTTTTAACGAAATGAAATGGGAGCGACTCAATCACGTGTTTCTAACTTTGCAAGCTTGCATGATTGAAGTGATGAAAGCTAAAGGAGGGAACAACTATAAAGTGCCACACATGATGAAAGAAAGATTAGAACGAGAAGGAAATCTTCCGATTCAACTTTCTTGTGATATTGACATTGTCAATGAAGCTAATGCTCTGCTTCAAGTGTGATATGAAATATATGTATGTCAATCCTAATAGGAGTTGGTGCGGCCTCTTTTTTGGTATAAGATCATATATGTAGATGATCTTTTTTTTGTATAAGCTCCTACATGGCTGGCCTTTTTTATCTTATTTTATGTAAATTTCTACATCTAAAATTAATGTAATTTTATCTCTCAATTGAAGAGATTAATGTACACAAAGAAATTATTCATATTATGAGTGTTTTTAAATTTGATGGTCTCAACTAAGCCTTTTGATAATTCAATAGTGATATGCACTTGAATATTCCTATGATGGTGTTAATAAGAAAATTTCTTTGTTGAAAAATTATGAATTGGTACTATCCTAAGTATTGCACTAGAAAAAAAATGAAAAAGACAAAAAATTAGGAAAGAATAAAATAGAAAGAAGAAGTTAAAAGTGGCAAAGTTAACAATTTAATTGGTTGTACTTTTAAATGATTTCCGTATTTTCCATCCAATAAAAAATATTAATCTGACATGTTTTTATATCAGTGGGTCCATGCTTAGTGAATTTTTAAATTGATGGTAAGGGTATTATTGGAATCATAAAATTTAGGTGTTGCCATAAAAGGAAATGGATCATTTATTTTGAAACAGACTAAAAAGGAAAGGAGGTCAATCTTTTTGAAACGGAGGGAGTATAAAATATGAACAACACAAATAATCTCTACTGATGTTCATTTCAGCATCAGCACATGCGGACCATGTTCCGAAATCATGGCTAGAACTTGCCCTCCAAGGGAGATCGATAACAGTAACGATCTTCATTAGACAAAAACCAGTGACAATTATAATGAAAGATCCCAGATACCCTAGCGCAGATTGTAGGAGAGGGAATAAACTTAGCACTAAATGGTTTTGGACAACACCTATAGACCCAAGCCCTACTCCAAACATAGTTAATAGGCAACTATAGCCAAATGTCAACCTTCGAGAGAAGCTCACTCATGGGCCAAGTGCAAATCCAGATTCCTTTCTTTTCGCAACCCACCACCATTCCAGATGTGACGAACCCTACATTCATCCAAATGAATCTGGTGGGTATGACGAAAGCACTACCACACTCAATCGTGGTAGAAAATGCAAGAAGTGAAACTTTATAGAAACCATAAAGCAGTCCAACAATGATATGGAGTAGCTACTCTATGCCTTGGGGGGGGGGGGAACGAATATTTGGCATCTAGAGAAGTTTTCTCAGAAAAGTTCATAGAGCCCTTCAGCGAAGCTATTTTAGTGTATTGTCTACCAGAAATGAGAAAGGTGATGTTTAACTTGAGGAATGAAGTGCGGCAAATCACACTAGTAGTTGCCTTGAACCCAATGGATATTTGCAGGAACCTATCTCAATTGGAGAAAGAGAAGGCTCTGATGGTAACACCTCCAACTACACTAGAGCAAATGATGAACTTCATATATGAAATGCAAGATGATGCAAATAACATTACTTTCAAGAGGCACATTAGGGAACTGGTCAAAACTCACAAACATGTGATGATCGTTCTCCTGGAAACAAAGAGAAGGAACATGGAAGAAGTACAGAGGATTTGGGCTATTAAGCTCACATTCAATTTGCTTCTAAAGGACTTTCTTAAGGCATCGCGATTATGTGGAAATAATATCTCCTAAAGTTGGATAGTATGATTGTGACTCCTCAAGGCATCCATGTAATGGTCAAGGTAAACCCTAAGCAGAATCCTTGGCCTTTTTTCTATTTTTACACCAGTAATGACTTCAATAGACGATCCACTTTGTGGGATAGTCTCATAAGACTATCCCGAAACTGTAGTGGAGCTTGGATTATTGGAGGAGATTTCAATGAAATTCTCTAAGCTAGGGATAAGTATGGGGGCAAAAATATCAACAATAATCGTGCTAACCTCCTATGACATTGTTTTAACCAATGTAGCATGATTGATTTAGGGTACAAAGATAGCAAGTACACTTGGACTATTAAGAGATATAGCAATAAAAAGAAACTTATGGTACATGATTGATTTAGGCTTGACAGGTGTTTGAAAAATAACCACTGGATTTTGCAATACCCTTATTCTAGCATTATTTATCTTCCTAGAACCCATTCTGATCATTGTCCTCTCCAAGTCATGTTAGATTCCAAAAGGCCCAATCTAGGGACTAGGGCCATTAGAATGGTTAAAAACTGCTTTGATCCACTTGATTCCCTGGCTCAAGCCATTTCCTCCTTTTAAAATGAAAGCATTATCCGGGACAAAACCTTTTTTGGCAACATCTTTCAAAAAATGAGGAAAGTCCTTACTAGATTAGATAACATTCAGAATATCTTCATTACCTTCACAACTCTTTCCTCCATAATCTTAAAGTTGATTTGATCACTGAGTATGATTATTTGCTTAGACATGAGGAGGATTTCTAAAGGTTCAAGTCTAGATTAACTGTCTCACGGAAGGCGATACCAACTTCAAGTTTTTCCATACCAGCACCATTAATAGGAGAAGAAGGAACTATACCATGCTCTTCAAGGATGAGGTTGGTAAAGAGTACCATAAGGAAGAAGAAATCAAGAATCTGACCAAAACCTTCCTCACCAACCTCTATGCCACTAATCACAAAGCCTTTAGAAGAGGAAGTCCTACTGTGATCCACCATAACCCCTTCTAAGACAACCAAACTAAGGACATCTTGGACAGTCCCCTTGAGGACAAGGAAATCTAGAAGGCTTTAATTCTTTTAAACCCCTCAAATCCCCTACCTTGTCAACCATCTTATGTTCTACCAGAAGTATTGGGAGTTTGTGGGGGATAAAAGCACTATATTTTGTAAAGAAACTTTCAACATCTTCCTTATAGACTTCGCAATGAACAAAACTCTCATATGATTCATTCCCAAGTGTAAGAATGTAGTAACCCTTAAGAACTTCAGAATAATAGGGTTGTATAATACCAGCTACAAGATCATCACTATGATAATTGCCAACAGATTGAAGGCTCACCTCACGCACATCATTGGCCCTAGTCAATCAAGTTTCCTTCATAGAAGGAGAGCCTCTGACAATGTCATTTTTATGCAAGAGTACATGAACCACTTTAGGAGAATGAAAGGGAAAAAGGCTAATATGATTCTAAAAATTTATCTTGAAAAATCCTTTGACAAACTTGAATGGTCTTTCATCCATAACTCCTTTTTGATTACTTCAATTTCCCTCCTAAGCTATCCAAGTTGATCATGTCATGTATCACCACTTCCTCCATCTCCATCATTGTCAATGGCTCAACCACTGGCTACTTCACCCCTTCTAGAGGCATTAGATAGGGTGACCCTATCTCTCTTTACATCTTTATCATATGCATGCAAAGAATTTCCAGGAGCATAGATGAAGTTGTGAGGGACAAAACTTAGAACCATATTAGCATCTCCATGGTAGGGCCCAAGATATCTCATATTTTCTTTGTTGATGATCTTATTATCTTCAGGAGGGCTGATGCCAAAAACTATAACATTGTTAACAAGATCCTGGAAGACTTCTATAAGGCATCTAGACAAAATCTCAACCTTTCTAAATATAAGGTTTTCTCCTCTAGTAATGTTGGGAATGATACTAGTGAAACTTGCTCCAGTATGATCAACACCCAAGCCACTAACTCTTTCGGGAAATATTTAGGGTTCCCCATTTCCATGCAAAACCCATCCATAGTGACTTCCAATTCATAATTGATAACATGCATGCAAAGCTGGCTGGATGGAAAACTAAATTTCTTAACATGTTGTGAAGAATAGTCTTGGCAAAAGCCTCTATAGCCAGCATTCCTTCTAATGTTATGCAATATACTAACATGCCCAACAAAACAACTAAAGTGATTGATATAACCCAAATAAATTTCATTTGGGGAACTAGTGCTACAAAAATCCATCTTATTGGTTAGGAAACTATCACTAAGCCTAAGCAAGATGGGGGGACTTAGGTTCCAAAAGAGTACAATTAAGAGCAAAACTATTCATGTAGAACTGGCTTAGAGAATGTACAAAAATCCCAAGGTACTCTGGACAAGAATCATGTACTACAAATATTGTCATAATAAATTACCCACCAGGGAAAAAGCCATTGAATAAAAAACATGGCAATGCATTAGGCAATGCTAGGACATTTATTGTAAAAGAAATAAAGTCAGGTTTTTCGAAGACAAATGGATTTCAAACTACGGAATCATAATGGAATAATTTTGTGGACCATTGAGTGAACAAGACCATGAAACAAAAGTCAGCTTCTTAGTTTCAAATGACAAATGGAACTAGAAAAGTTGGATACCATCCTTACATATGAGCTATCCAACATAGTCATTGATAGTTTACTCTCAAGCATCAATATCATGGAGGACCATCTCATTTGGGACATCACCAAAGATGACAACTACACTACCAAGAGTGCTTATCACTTTATTGATCACCATTTGGACAAAAAAGAGGAGACTTTCCACACAAATTTCTCCTGGATTTTGAAAATAAAGGCTCCTAACAATATCAAGGCTTTCATTTGGCTATTCTCACATTGCAGACTACCTATTAGTCAACACCTCAGTAGCATTGGCCTAAACATAGACCATTTATGCAAATTTTGTGAAAGGAATCTTGAAAATATGAAGTATATCTTCTTCCATTGCAATTGGGCTACTACATACTGGACGAACGTGACAAACCACAGTACCAATATAACAAGCATAAATTCTACAATGTTGAACACTAGTAGCTGGCATATCACCTCGAAGCACCTAAAAAGGAAGCCTTTCAACAAATGGATCTCTTAGGATACTGTCATCCCTTTCAGACTTCGGAACATCTGGATCAGTAGGAATGAAATTATCTTCAATAGTAAGAAAAAGCAAATCCCGATAGATCGTGCTATTGCTTAGGTAATTATTTCACTTCCTAGACCTAACGGTAGCTAAGGCAACATCCACAAGAATCCTCATTCATATTCGATGTCATCCTCTAGTTAAGAACACTTACAAA